GGGGGTGTCAAAAGTGGCCTAAATCGCGTGGCGTAATATGTGGACGACCCCTAAATCAGCCTGCGGGTATGGCGGGTGCAGAGCCAGCACAGGGAGCGTGGAGGTCCTGGAACTGCATGGTTGCCTACACTGTAAATCCGGGGTGTCCAGCAGGTAGGCGACAAAGTCGCCTGACCCGCAAAACTAGGCGACTTATGTCGCCTATCTGCTGGACACTTTCTGTTCTTCCGGATAATTGCATTGTATGAGTCCATAGGCATTCCACCTATTGCGCCCATGCATTTACCCGGAAAACCAGAAAGTGTCCAGCAGATAGGCGACATAAGTCGCCTAGTTTTGCGGGTCAGGCGACTTATGTCGCCTACCTGCTGGACACCCCGGATTTACAGTGTAAGCACAGGTTTCCATTGAATTACTCTCAATTTCGCAGCAATGGCATCAATATGACCTAAAACGGCGTGAAATTTATGAATTTACGTTGTAAATTACAGATCAACTACAAAAATAAGTAGGCTAGTTAAGTTTGTTTTTGAGAAACGATAAGAGAACCGTGTTTGACCGCGAGATTCAGTATTATTTTGGAAGGGATGCGAGAGGCTGGGGTGGGCGGCAGTGGGTAGATAGGGGACGGGGAGAAACGATGGGTAGGAGGGAGGGTGGGGCGGTGGAAGCAGGGGAGCGGAGCAGAGCGAAGAATTGGTCCCCCTCAAGACAAAGGGAATGCGATAACGCCAACCTCGTTTGGCGCTGGACATAAGACGCTGTGGGGCCGAGCGCTGGAAGGAGGAGGAGGAGCAGCAGCAGCAGCAGCAGCAGCAGCAGCAGCAGCAGCAGGGGGCGTGACGACGCCCTGTCCGATATTCGACGATACTCGTCCTCAGAGTCTTCGCCGCTCGTTCCAAAGGACGGCCGCGCCACCCTCTCCATCAACACAACGCAGCCCCCCTCGCGGCCGGCCGCCGCCCCCCTTTGCGACACGAGCAGCGCAGAATAATATGGGGCACGCACTGGGCCATGCTTTTGGTATTCCTGGTACCGGCGAGTCGTCAGGGGATTATGTATGGGTGTGCGTGCGTGTGTGTTTAGTTTTGTGTGTGTGTGTGCGTGTGAGCGTGTGCAGGCGTGCGGGCCGGCATCAGCGAGCCCGGTGGCCCTGATGGCGTCATAAGCAGGCCACTGGGACTCCCCCGCCGCCTCCGCTGCCCCCGCCACTGCTGCCCGTGTTGTAATTGATTGCTTTCTCACAGGCGGACAGAAAAGCAGCTAAAATTTCCCTGGGGCATGGACACACACCTCTGCTCAGCGCGATACACCAGCACGCACCGCCACCCACCACGCTACGCTCACACCCACTCTCTCTCTCTCTCTCTCTCTCTCTCTCTCTCTCTCTCTCTCTCTCAGGCGCAAATGCTTTAACAGCAAAAGACAATTGACAGTGTACTGACAGTGTAACCAACACTAAAATGATATTAAATTGGTAAGCATTACATCAACAGATAATGACAAAGTTTAACATAGGCCCTACTGATATTCATAACAAATGTCTCAAAGGGGTTTCCAAAGGTGTGGTTACAGGTGTGGTACAGGACGAGTCACGAACACATGTTATCTGGGTGTTTTCACAACATGAACTAACTTTATTTCCGCCAAACAACAGGGACAGAAAAAAACAAATGAGCACATACAAGGGATGGCCGCTAGGTGGCAGTACTTACACACAGGTAAGTGTCACACGATACAGTACCTAAAAACAAATGCATGAGAGGAAAACACTGATATTTTGGATAATCCAATAATAACCATCGCCAATTAAGATTTCGGAATAGTAACGGCTTCCGCGATATGGCACCCGGAGGCCCGCTTCTGACCGGGCGGTCCGTACGAAAGGCGAAACCGCCACTCCCCGTACGGCATAATTGGAAAATAGGGAAATGACCAATCCATCGGTGTGTCAGATAAAATGGAAACACCCTGTAAATGAAAAACATCGACAACGTTCAAATTTTGTTCAAAATCGTCAATGAAGAATTGATCAGGGGGGTGGACCTGTGAATTGCAAGGGTTTGAGTAAATAGTCTTGACAAAAAAAAAAACAAAAAAAAACAAAACATACAGCATTTATTTAGCACCAAGGCTTTATTGAGAAAATAAATGTAGCCTAAGTTTTCTTTGCGCGCCATCGCGCGCACTCTCCAGGAACATATTTATTGTCGCCTTCACCTATGGAGCGATGCAGCAGCCATAGCAATATTAAGACGTGTCTCGTCATATTTTGTACAAAAACGTAGCACCTCTCAATTGCTGACAAATCGCGACGTACGGACAACTCTGCCTGTAATTGTCCCTAAAATTACTGATAGATAAAGAAAAGAAAAAGCTGCTGCTGTGTTACTGATAGACTGCAGAACATAAATGATAAAATAGCGAAACTGCGGAGCAGCTTAGAGCTCTAAGCTCTAAACCAAAAGCTTATCGAACTTTGTGCAACGGGTGCGCAGCTGATCGGACTTTGTTTAACCGAACCATAACAGGTCGAACTTTGTCATTAGGACGCATCAAATCTTCGTACATCGTTAAGTACTATTTTCAAAGAAAGCTTTTGTAATCCCGAATTCTCGATCTACCTTATGGCGCACTCGCGTTTACTTGTTACGTACCGATACTCAGCCAAGTACATCTCTATCCCCAGCAGCGCCAACCGCATTAAATACGCTTCTGGGGATTCAGGATATCCAAAGCTTAGCGATCTAAGACACAAACGTGCGCTGTTCCAAAAGAACATTCTTACCGGATTAAGAACGCATGTTTTCCCCTTGCTGAGTAGCTTCCCGGTTAATGCTTGAAAGCATTTGGTGTGTTGATAAGCGGCTGAACAGGCACCCCCAGGGAAGTTGAAAACAAATGCATTTTCTTTCCATTGGTTGTTGCTACGGGCATCGACTACGACACGAGTCTGGGAAAAGAATACAAAATTACCCACAAAAGAATACAAGCTCAAGTGAGCTTTCAAATCTCAGTTTTTACCGATAAAGAATGACAGTTACACAGTTAATATTTACTCTGTGCTTCAGCTTTGAACACTCTGTGGAAACGCAGATGATAGTGTGGAACTGGTTCAGGGGTGGACTAGAGGGTAGTGACCCCGGGGGGAAATAAGGTGCCCGGATTTGCCTACCTTCTAGGGGCAAATAGAAAAAATCGTGTTTTTAGTAATATCTTAGTGGTAGTGTGGGTCGAGGAGTGAAATTGAAAATTAAACGTGAAAATAGATATGTCCTGAACGTGTCTTGCACTCGTTACATAGTGGCCACAATCTTTCCATTTACATTCCCCTGAGTTTTCCCTTGATTTCCAGCCCCTCTGTTCTAATAAGTTCCCTGAGTTATAGGAACAAACAACCGTATCCAAACAAGCGAGCGAAGCGAGCTCGAAATTTTTTTGGGTTATAAGGTCGCCAAAATACCCTGCTGGGACGTCAAAATGTCTTGTTGACTCACTGATAAACTCCTTAATTCAAAGCCAAATTTTGGTGTTACCTAACACAACTGCTAAAATTAGTGTCTTTGAACGCCCGTTTAGATTGATCTGCCGCTCAGACTCGGCTTCGGCCCGGGCTGGGCCCATAGGTTGCGGTACACGGGACGGGCTACGAGCGGCCGCGAGCGGACTTGAACCCGGGCCTTGGGCCCGCGCGAGGGGCCGGGCCTTCGGCCCGGGGCCCGCGAACCCTCAAAACAGGCGGGGCCCGGGAGCGATTTCCTGGTTTCCCCTCCGGGCCAGTCCGCCCCTGAACTGGTTACAGACACGCAGCCCCAAAGCGGACATCAGAGAAGAGCTACGGAAGACCCGGTTTGTTGAACCATGAAGATTAACTTAGGGTACGGACAAGCCTAGAAAATAATTACCGCTACCGCTCCTGCCCGTTGATTGGGGTTTCTTATGAGATTTCCACGTGGTAAATTTTCCTTGTTCCATATTGTTTGTTTCCATATTCCTGGGTTTTTGTAAAATCCACATGTTTTTTGTTTTTTTTTTTAATCCACGAGGGGTTTTTAAACTCTGTGTGGTTACACGTCCACGTGGCTTCTGACACCCATTTGCATAGATCCAAAGACAAGAGTGCTGATTCCCAAGTGTATCATACACACAAAGAAAAACATAGCACGCCCTAGTTTTTTGTGAGCTCAGGTGCAAAAAATTCGTCAGCTTAGGTCTAGCTATTTTTTTTGTACAGCAAACTGAAGCAATGAACTAGCTGTATCGCCAATACTATTTAGCAGTACAGCCAAATATTTTATCCTGCAGCTAATTTTTTGGCAGGGGTGCCAAATTTGCCTGCAAAATCGATTAATACGGAACCGATTGTTATTTTTGCCTTGAAGCACGGCAGACCTATCAAATACAATGGTTTGAAAGATTACTAGCTGTAAAAAAAAAACTAAGAATCTCATCGGCGAGCGACAAACCCTTTCAATTGTACTGAATCGAGCCACAATTTGATGTTTGTGAAAGAAGTGTGTACATGAACATGGTCTTCTTTGCCTTGAACAGGACGGGTACACATATTTCCTTGTGGCTCAACAAATGGACCTGCAACATGAAAAATGTTGTCATTTACTTTTAAGAGATGCATTTCTAGCTTGACGAGAGCGATTTTAAAAGTATTAATTTTGAATATTTTTCAACAATATCACGCAGTTTTAGTCTTCCAAATAGGGTTGAAAATTTACTACATTTTCCCTCGTTTTGAAATATTATATGTGACATATCAAAAATCGCTCTCGTCACGCAGAAAAATGAAATTCAGTTCCGTGCAAATCGGTTTCACAATTTTACACCCGTGCCAAAAAATTAGCCGGTTGTAAAAATATTTTTCTGTATAGCTAAGTGACATTAGCTACACGGTTAATAAACGTTGTGGTTTACTAGATGGCTAAAAAATTAGCCGTGGTGCTAAATAAATTAGCCCAGTCTATTCAGTTAATTTTTTAGCCTCGGTGCTAAAAACTTAGCAGAGCCACGATTTATTTTTCTGCGTGTATGCTAACATTCTGCTTGATGTTCAGGTCGCTAGCAAAAGAAAACCGCCCAGAATCGTGCACGCCAGAAAGAAGTCTACCCGCCTTGTTCGAGCCAAGGAAGACCATGTTCACGGAGGGGTACACATCTCTACACGGTAAAAACGACGTCCTGGTTTCCTTGGCGTTTTGGAAAAACCATGACGTCTTATGGAAGAAATGCATGGGAAACGTCATGGTTTTCCAAACGTCATGAAAACCAGGACGTCGTTTTTACCGTGTACAGTGAGGGCTTGCTATAGTTCCACGCAGCCTAGTTCCGCCGGAGCTCCTTCCCCGCCAGGCCTGATTCCCCCACTCCGAGCGAAAAGAGGCTTACCCGAGGGGTACATCACTCCGATTCTGGGCGTACACCTACTTTTAGTCGATTTTTTCTGGCCGTTACTTTTTGACTTTTTTTGACTTTTTCTGTACTTTTATTTGACTTTTTTCTGACTTTTTGATCAAATTTATTTGACTTTTATGATTTTTTCCCTGCTATTTTTTTAAAATACGGGAGAGTTGTATTTTTTGGGCTAAAAATAAGGTTTTTACAAGACTTTTTGGTACTATTGATAGCATGAATCGAATAAAAAGAAAATTCGTCATAAGAAAAACAAGGTATTTTCAGTATTTACGTTTTTTGGTGAAGAAATCCCGTGAAATCCGGTAATTTCATTTCTCTCACTTCACCCGACACCCACCCCCCTCACTCTTTAAAAGACAGTGATCTAGGACTTTCCGATACAATCACAGTTACGTAGCTTTTTGGCCTCTTACAGGCAGATATTGCACTCGCATGTTGACTTTTTGTTGACTTTTCCAGTGCCTTTTCTCTAACTTCTCGTCGACTTCTCGATGACTTTAATTGACTTTTTTGGCTTTTTTTTTACTTTATTTGACTTTTTTGACTTTTTTTGACTTTTCAAATGACTTTTTGACTTTATCTTGACTTTTTTCTTGACTTTTTTAATCGCGTACACCTACTTGTAAGAGTGGTGTACCCCTCGGGCTTACCTCTCTTCCTCCTCCCCGCCACCTTCCCCCCGGGCCCCCGGCCGGCCAGCAGTGTGAGCGAGCGCACCGTGTAGAGGAGTAGGGGAAGACGCTCGCTATAGTTAACTATAGCGGAATTTCGCCTCTGGCGTCCCCACTCACCCACTCCAATTCTGAACTCAAGGTGGAACTATAGCGAGCGGCTACTGTACCGCATTGGTCAAATTGTAGATTATTTCATTACTAATAATGCGGTCTTTCGTTCATATAGTCACGATTATGCGTTTTCTCAAAAGAAAAAAATCCTCTGAACCCTTGCACTTTAAAGCAAAGAGTCAAAACCATCAAGGAAAACACGTAAGGAGCCTACGACTGAAAATTTATTAACTTCGTCAAAATTTTCAGAATTGTGGGTTTTGACGGTCATTGAGGGCTTAATAAATGTTTATATAGCACCAAACATTCTGACAACGTTTTTATAACAGGTTTCCTGAGGGTTCTGCAAAAATTCTAAGAACGATATGTGGCGAGAGTCTGGTTATTATTGACACCAAGGCCTTCTGCCTATAAGCGCTCTGCTTGTTATTCACTTTTTCATACTTCGTATGTAAAGTGTTGCGCCCTACCGGCCGTGTATGTTAACAGTCAGTTCTGAATAAATACCCATCATTGAGTTCACATCGCGCTATCGTAATTAGCCCACCACTCTGACAAATATATGATTGAATAATCAATAATATGTGATACAAGGGTGGCTAGATTCCTAGACCCAAAAGTTTATTAAGAGGAACTTTTGAGAGAAAGCCATGTTTTATCGTAATATTTGGGGAAATGTGTAAAAATGTATCTACAATTTTATTTTAAAAACAGGATGAAATTTTTTAGCTCTACGATTTGAACTCATTTTGAAATTTTGATTTGGTTTGGTCAAATCAGGATTTCAGCAGGGCCTCCCGTCCAATACTTACAAGCTTTGATATCAAATTATTCCCTTCGTAATACTCTTACCCAGCAATTATCATTCACTTCTTCTAATCCTGTAACGTTCCCGTCAAAGCGTTGAAGCTCTTCTGGCTTAAGTGGGTTGAAGTGGTGCGTGAATCGGAGGTACCAATTCCACGTGGGCTTGTCGGATGTAGGTAATTGAGTCTGATCACAGTTGTAGAACTTCGTACCGTATGCTATATAACGGCCCTGGAAAACGAGAAAAAAAGGCTCAATTGAGGTAACTCCGTATGTACGCATACATTCGCGTCAACCCAGGTCTTTATCTTTAGTTAAGAAAACACGTGGATTCTATGTAAAATGTTACCGTACAAGACGATTTGTGTCATTGACATATCGTACGAGACCATTGTAAAGGGAATTTTCCAACATTTTCTCCTGCTTCTAATGATACACATCTCGCAAAATCGCCAAGAAATTCACATTCGACCGTTTGTCGCGACCCCAGCGAGACCCGACCCTTAAGCCGGGCTCCCCGAGACCCAATCTTTCAATGGGCATTCGTTCCGTAAAACGGGCTAATATCGACTATGCGGAATTCTAATTCCGCTTCTGCTCGACTCGTATTTCCATTTACACTGAGAACCACTTTACGCAACAGGATACAAAGCCCTTTGTTACGTGCAATTATAACCTGCGAATAAAGTTTCTGTGTACACTGGTAAATCAGAAGTAGGATATCCCACCTTTAAAAGGCGTTATAAAGCTCCAAAGGCATTACAATTTGTGTTTTTTCGAAATATTTATTTCCCATGGAACAAAATTGGATTCTGAAACCTATTTTCGTAATCTTCGCGACATTCCGCGTCAAACGAACCTACATATGATGGGCTTCTGTTCAAAATTGGCATAGATTGTTTTCATTTTTTGCACTTTTTGACTTGCTTTTCATTTGCTGACCGCTTATCTGAACCCTATCACATGTAGGCTCGACTGGCGCGAATTTTTGCGAGGAATGCGATAATGAATCTCAAAATGTGATTGGTTTGCTCATATAGAAAATATTTTGAAGAAACTGAAAATATACACATTAGTACCCCTAAAACGAGTTTAACACCTCTGGAAAGGTAGGATATCACACCTTTGTTTTTCCAGTGTACACCTTTTACAATACCGCAAAAGTGTTGAGCGATTTGCCGTAGCCGTCCTTTTGATTCATGAGTGCTAACAGAACAGCTGCGAGAACAAGTGCCATTTTGAGGCAACAAAACTGGACACGATGCTGCAACGCTCTAACAGAACGAATGTAGAGCTGCGGGAGCTCAGTAAAGGGGGGCATTTATATTGCAGTATGACGTCAAAAGCTTGCGTGTAACGTGGACCAGTCAAACTCTTTACAGGAAGTTTCGCATTGTCAACATCTCTCCCGAAGGCCTCCGTGTCTCCGACATTTCATTGTGCTTTCATAATGGCAATGCACAGTGCGTGCTGGTCTGGCAGCGGGCGTTATATAGAAAAGACCGCTATTATGGACACTGCGCATATATAGCAAAAAAGTTATCGGCACGCGGATTAGATTGAGCATAACAGAGTTAATGTTATGTGCACGCTCGGAATTCAAACGCACAGTGGAACAAGAGGGGTTGATAGACGAAGAGGCTGATTCGAGAAGACTGGCCCTCAAAGTTTGTTTAGGAGGTTCGGGTTCGAGTCGAAGTGTGATCAGGGGAAAAGTGCGTTCAAATCAAGTAATTGCAACATTCTGCACGACGCGTGCGCATAGTAAAACATAGAAAAGCTACACGACGCGTTTGAATAACTCTAAAACTGTTATGCGAACGCGGAATCAAAATTTCCAACATGTCAACAACAACGTATGTAAGGGACTGCCTGCCTACGTCAATACAATATTGCATTTGTAACTCGGAACCGGAGCCTAGCGCCTGCCAGACTCGGGGTAGGCCACTCCGCAGTACACGGATGCAATGTAGACGAGATGTTGCCTATCCACCAGGCGCTACGAGAGCTTGCATCTGTCGGTCACCTACCGACACTGACGTTTGTCGCTGCTTTGTACAGAATCCGGCCAGCGGGAGTCGAACCCCAGACAGTTTCAGACTGGTCACAATTGAGCAACCTCAGCTGCCACAGAAGTGAAGGAGATAAAATATATATCTGCCCTAGCCGGGAGTCGAATCTCGGGCGAACAGTTTGACACGAGCACGATTTAGCGCGCTCGGCCGCCCGCCCGTCTTCTCCACTGTGCGTTCAAAGTCGGTCCTGTATCACGGGAGACAAGGAGCGACGCCAGTCAGCGACAGCGTAGAATGATTCGTTCCCTGGAGCGCTTATCCGTACCTCACCTCTATGGCCCAGTCGGTAGCGTTCCCGCTCAGAGCGCGGGAGGTCGGTGGTTCGACTCTTCTCAGGCCACCAAATTTCAAATGGACTCCAAACCCGTCATTTCACCACGCCCCTCTCGTGGAGTTCCGATGGCGTAGTGGTTACC